GGACCTATAGTCACAACATTGACAATGATTTAGTAGGTTGTAACTTGTGGGCAACCTAAAAACCCGGTCAACCTGGTCAACCAAAACACGGTTCTTTACGATGCTCCTCTTGTGCTCTTTTCTTTGCGAACCTCGGCTCGATTACCTTCCCTTCATATGCATCTGCCTTTATTTTTTCCAACAGCTTGTTGAGATCTGCATAAAGTTCTGGGAAGAAAGCCGTTTCAGCCATGATGATGGGTGGGTTGGCTTGAGCTTGCAGCTTGCTGTGATACTGTCTGATCTGCTCGGCAAATTCTTCAGCATAGGACCATATCGGATATAACTGCTGTGGCACGTTGGATATTTGAGCTAAGACCGACGATTGGTCGAAGCCAATGAAGAAGCCTTGCCGTTGAACAGCATCGAGAAATAGCATCGCAAAGAGCTCATCTTGTGCACTGGGGTTTTGCCAGGCGACCGTTTCAGGCAATTTCGATGTGAGAGCAAACACAAATATCCACAAAAGAGATTCAAGGTCGTGGACATAGTTGTAGTGAAAGGTAAAGGGAACGGCATAGTGATTTGCTGGCGCGAATATCCTCGACCGAGACATGAACATATATCTAGCTGCCTTGACTTCGATTGGCATAAAGTATGGCGTTCCCTGCGAAAGGAATAAGCTGACATGAAGTGGTCGACACAAAGTTACGCACCGTTTTGGCATCTGAGGACTCGGAGGAGTGCAGTGGTTCAGGTTGGATACGTTTGGAATATTCCAGGTCATTCAACTTGACCATGCTGTCACGGCAAAGTACATTTCCATTGCTTATATCCCGATGAACGAAACCTGCAGAATGCATAAATGCCAGTCCTATATGTCACAACATTCAGAATTAACTGTACTGATGAAGAAACAAGCAAGCTTACCGGTTAACAACAACTGTAATCCGTTTAAGATTGTCGGCCAGTCCGATAGCTTCTGGTCGAACGGTTCACCAGCATCCTCAGAGATCACACGACAATGAACCTTTGACCCGTAGGTGGCCCAGTCCAAGTTCGCTAGCTGGGCAGCGACGCTCTCGTACTGCGCTAGTGATATGCGACGCTCAGCCTCCGTTTCAGAACCCGTCATGAGAGACCCATCTATGCTAACGGTTGGCGGACAAAGGTAAGTTGTCATCGAGGTGACAAGCCTGTAACGATCACATTTTGAGGGAAGGGACCCATTTCGCAAGAAGTTGGAAGAGGAATCCTCCGCTTCAGCATCGGGGTCGGTCAAAGACTTGACGAGGATCTTTACGCATGCATCAATCTTGACAAAATAATCATCGAATTTGTTTACATCCAACCACTCGAGTCGGTTAACCTTGTTGACATTGTCACGAATTGAATTTCTGGTTTCGAGTTCGGTGGGAGAGTCTTCTGGGATCCAGTAGTCCTTGAGGAACTGGGTGATCGGACCAAGCTGGAGTGGTTCGCGATTTATAACCTCAAGAACCTTGAAAATTCGAGGAGCGCGACCGAGCAGGGATTTAGCCTTCCGAACTGCGATAGCTTCCTTGGTCATGTATTCTTTATCACCAACTTTGAAGATGTAGACCGGTCTTTTATCTGGAGCAAGAATGCGTTCGACGGAAGGGTCGAAGCCTAGTTCGTCTTTGCTGGCATATCCTATTGATAGGGCGACATATATGAGGTGACGAACATTCTATCAATATGAATGTTTGAGAATAGATGCATACAAGCAGAGAAGACACATACGAGATGGAGATCGAAAATCTTCGCGACGAAGACATGCGAGCGGGAAAAGAACCAGAGTCGAACATTGGTGCTGTCAATTGTCAAACCAAACATGAATCTTCTGATAGGATCGGCCCCCATGATGTGGGTGGCGTTGGAAACGACCTTGACGTTGTTCTGCAACAGCTAAATCAAGAACACATAATCGGAGTTGCAAACCATCGCTCACGTCGTTAACCTTGTCTGGCGTAGAATCCATTTCCAAGTCACCTGTCGCGACCACATCACATTCAAATTCTTCCCCTTGCTTCCTAGGCGAGACGGAAGTGGATTTGCGGAGGAGAACGTTAACGTCGGCTATGTAGCTCGAGTTGTCGCCTTCCGACCAAAGGCTCTTGGCCGGATTGTTTGAGAAGAAAACGGTGGAGTCCTCTCCCAATATACTGTTCAAAGCTTCGAACAGAGGAGCAAAATACTCGGCTTCCTTCACCTCCCGCCCCTCCTGTGCCTGCGCGTCCGACTCTTCCAGCAAACGAACCCATCCATTATCATTCAGATGTCTCTTTTCGTGAAGAGTCTGCACAGCGTTCTTAAGCTTGTCATCTGAGACGTCCGGCAGTACTAATTTCTTGAAACAATCGAAGGAGATTTCGGGAATAGAAGGGGCCAAATTTTGCGAATTTCGCTCTCGAAAGCCTGGTATCAGATCTGTAAGGGATTGTATACAAATACGCGGGGTATCTGGTCGGTAAATATCTGCCATTAGTAGAAGCTTAAGGTAAACATGAAAGTCGGGATGAAAGATGGGGAACCGCGCCGCTCGTGCCGTCTACATTAGCGCTCACTTTCACTATCAACTTTTTCCAAACTTTTTCGCGACTCAAAAATGACGCTCCCACCTCCCTCAAAGAAACGAAAAGTCAATGGCTCCTCACTGTCCCAATCCATTGCGCAGCTGGAGCGCCAAATAACTGATGCAGTATCCAGCAACTCTTCGTTAAATCCTTTGGCAGATCTCGTCGACATTGCATTGAACGCAAAAGGCCCTCAGGATACTTCCAAAGCGATCTATGCACTATACAGAGTGTTCGTCGTCGTTATCTCTAGTGGGAAGCTTGGCCTGGGAGGCGACGAAAGTGCAAAAGTCGTGAAAGCATGGCTCTGGGAGAGGCTGAATGCATATGTGCTGCTGCTCACTGGATTATTAAAAGACGAGGAAAAGTCATTACGGGTTTGGATGTTTCACCGTCATACGTTATCCTCTCTGACTCTTTCGAATAGACGTCCTCATTGCAAATCCTCTTTTCACTCCAGACACATTTGTCCAAGTCGGCTTCGGAGAGCAGTTCAGGTCCTCAGTTCCATCTCTCTCACTTTAGAAAAATTGTTTCGGCGCTGTTATACTGTCCTCCCTCTCAGAGAAGCGATAGTAACGTTAGCCCCCGAGATACAAAACTCGATCCGGACGTTTTGCATCTATTCCATGAGAATTGGTTCAGCGTCCATGATGACATACGATGGTTTTTCTTGCGTGAATCAGGGTTCGTTTATGCTGTGTCTATGGCTGGTAAATGCTCACCTATCTAATCTTTCAGAACCATCCTTTCAAAAATCAACCCACAATCTCACCCAGATGTATCAAGCAACCTACTATCCATCCTTGAGCAACTTGTCACATTCCCTACGGAGCAATCCGAATTGAATTCTTGGTGGGTCCCCGAACTGGGGAACAAACCTCCGAAACCGAAGGCACAGGATGAGAGCGAATACGGCGATGGAGAAGAGGAACTCAAGCCTGATGACGATGACGAAGAAGACGATTGGCGGAAGTACTTTGACGAGGACGCAAAGGATAAGGATGTCAAAAAGAGTAAAGGTCCTATGGGAAGAGCCCATACGCTTACCTTGCACCAATCCCTCCACAATTTACCCTCCCATCGAGCAGTATTCACGCGCGCATGGCTTAATCTTCTTTCAAAATTGGTTGTGCCAAATAATTCGGACGCGACAAAAGCGCTTGCTATACGTGCTCTAAATGTCATGCATCGGGGTGTTTTACCGCACTTGACGAGACCTGTGCTGGTTATGGATTGGATTGGAGCATGCGTGGACTATGGTAAGTTCTGTCGAATGAATCTTCATGGCATTCTTAATGAACTATCTTCTCTATTCGCAGGCGGTACCGTGGGTCTGCTGGCTCTCAACGCGTTGTACGTGCTCATGAAAGAGTACAATCTGTAAGCAATCATCGAGTCGCCTTTCTCTCTCGTGATTCAAACGATCTTCAGTGACTATCCCTCGTTCTATACACGACTATATGCCTTCCTAGATCGGGACGTACTTCATCTAAAACACCGCGCGCGCTTCTTCCGGATGACGGAACTGTTCCTCAGTTCAACGTGAGTCTTCACCTTTCTTCTTACCGGTAAACCAACTCAACATGTGTTCCAGTCATCTCCCCGCTACCCTCCTCGCCTCATTCGTCAAACGTGTCGCGCGCTTATCCCTTAGTGCTCCGCCCAGCGCAATCGTAATGGTTATTCCATTCACATATAACATCCTCAAGCGGCATCCGTCGCTGATGATTATGATTCACCGCGAGAGTGATAGCGAAATCGCTGCTGAAGGTATGCTCTACATCTTTCCTTCCATCCTCCTGATGTTTCAGCTCCCTTTTGTAGATCCCTTCATCCCATCTGAAACCAACCCTCTACTGACGGAAGCGCTTTCGAGCTCGCTCTGGGAGCTGCAGTCGCACAGAAGACATTATCATTCTTCTGTATCGACCCTGGCCAAGATTTTCTCAGAGGCGTTCACGAAGCCGAAATATACGATGGAGGACTTTTTGGATCATACCTATGGGACAGTGAGTGTTTTTATACATTCTTGTTTTCTATGGAGTTGACATCACTCTTTCAGCTGTTCGACGCAGAAGCCAACCGCAAGATCAAAAAAGGAACCTCCGGTTGCACTCGAGGTGGAGCAACAACAGAAGGAAAAATTACAACTGTTGTTTGTAGGGGTAGATGCAGACTGATGATGCAGATCTTGTCAGCGCTGGTGGGGATGTGGTTACTGAGTTGTGGGGGTTTTGAGTATCTGTGGATAGTGCGTATATAACACCTCAGGTCTGTCTAACTTGTTAATCTAGTCCAGTACAATAAACTGGGCAGTGGGCTCTACGAATTTTTTCAAAGCTATGTATTTCAGCAACTCTTTCAATAGTAGGTCTAGTAACTTTCAACCATCGAACCTTACTTACAATACGTTTAAGACACGGGCACATGGTGTAGTTGGTTATCACATCCGCTTAGCAAATGTAGCTTTAATGCGGGGGGTGCTGGGTTCAATTCCCAGTGTGTCCAATGTCTGAGGTCATGTGTTGTTTTGTTGGTTGTTTGGTACAGCATCCTAACTCTGATTGTTGTTGTATCCTTAGTCTTGAAAATATTCTTGCCTAGTCAGCTCTCATCTTCTTTACCACCAGTTTGTCGACTGTAACCTCGGAAGCGTGCGTCATCCGCGATGGGGAATCAAGCGCGGAACAGCCGCGGCATAGTCGTGAGGGAGGGATCTGATCAGTATTGAACGGAGTAACTGCGGAGCAGTAATCTTTGTCAAAAAATCATTGTCAGCGCCGCACAAGCTGACGCCAGCTTTTTCCGCAGAACCGTGAATAGGGACATTTATAACCATGGGATTGCTGCTCTTTTTATTTACTTTCCGCTTCAATGAACCAAACTTCTTCCTCAGATGTCCATCTTCTGGTCCTCGTCCATGGAATGTGGGGAGCGCCCAGCGATCTTGCTGCCGCAGAACGATATAGTAAAGGAAGTACGCCCAGAGTTCCATGTTCTTTTCGGCAGAGACCAACAAGAACGATTCTACATACGACGGAATCGATTGGGGTGGCGAACGAGTCGCACAGGAGGTGAATATTCATTAATATATGCTATTATACATACTGACAATTCGCCCAGGTCCTGCAAGAAATCGATAATCTTCGCCAGCAAGGAAAGCGCGTCCGCGAATTCAGCATTACAGGGTACAGTCTGGGGGGATTAGTTTCTCGCTACGTCGCGGGCATTCTCTCCCAACGAGGTCTGTTCTCGGAAGACTCTCCTGAATACATCAGGCCCGTCAACTTTTACACCATCGCAACTCCTCATCTTGGTGGGTTCAGGACTTGGCTCTATCCAAAAGCATATCACTCACTACTGTCTAACAGGTCTATGCCGATATCCTACATTTTTCTCCTCTGTTGCGCGGAAATTGGGTCCAAAGCTCCTCAGCAGAACTGGGGAGCAATTCTACTGCTTAGACAAGTGGGGAAAGAGTGAGAGGCCAATACTGGACGTCATGTCAGACCCCAAACTCGTATTCTACCAGGCGTTGGAAAAGTTCAAATATGTCAGGGTATATGCGAATTGCATCAACGATTTAACGGTGCCATACGTTACCGCTGCAATCGAGACAGAAGATCCTTTCGCAGAATACGAGACGAATGGGTTAGAAGTGTAAGCTTTCATTTCTAGCGTTTGTTTATTCTCTCTAATCACTGCCTCTAGTGAATTCCATTCGAAGCATAGACCTATCATCGCTTCGTACTCTCTTCCATCTTCACCACCGCCACCTAAGAAACCTAGATCCTGGTTCCAATCTTCATCCCCCGAATCCGAAGAAAATCAAAAACCCAAAATCCAGAAAGCTCCAATGTTGCCTCCGTTTCTGCAATTCCGCTTCCCGCTCAACGTCCTTGCACTTGCTGCTACTCCAGTCATCATACCGTCCATGCTTACCTTCGCCGTTGTACGACTCTCCCTCGCTTCACGATCATCGAAAGCCAGGATCTCTCTTTTGGAGAAAGACTCTTTACAGAATGGGCAGAGCTTGGTTCACGCTCTAGCCCATCTGGAGAGACAGATGGAGGACGCAGTGGCGGATTTTATTGATAACCCTGAGGCACGAGCAGAACTTCGTCTCGAGGCAGATGTAGTATCAGAACACACCGCTGTCGACTCATCAATACCAGTCTCCTCTTATCCACCCGCCTCTGAAATAGCCTGTTCCTCTTCATCCACAATTGTTGTGCCACAAATATCCCCCTCCCAACACCCGATTCTTTCTCCACTCCAAAAGACCATCTGCGCGCGATTGAACAACCTCCCTCAGCTAAAGAAAGAGCGCGCGTTTATTGAGGGTATGAGGAACACACATTCGACTATTATCTCTCGCGACCCAAAGATTTGGGATAAGAATGGAGTTGGGCTGGAGGTGCTGAGACATTGGGCAGGCCAATTGGTCGTAGGTTAGGTGTTTTAAGACACTCATTAATCACTTTTACGCATATACCAGGGCACATTCAGTACTTATATCCTAATTTTTATTGAGCATAGACCTTCAATATACCATTCTAGTAAAGTTCTACTCATCCCTCGGGCGTACCTACGAGACTCTAGGTCAAGATAAGTAGTAATAGATACAAAAGAATCGGTGGTTAATATTACTATTAGATAGTACTACATACTTTACCATGTATACAACACACTTTTCTCACTTTACCTGTATTATAGAAGTTGGCGTTTAAACTTTACAGGGGCCAGCGATCTACGCTTGGAGCGGCCACTGAGTCAGCTGCGAGCTCATCGTCTGTTCACTGTGAGTGTCCCGAGTCTCGGACCCGCCGGTGTTCAATCTTACTTCCTTCCTTTCTTCCCTGAACTTGAACTTGCTGTAGTTCAGGAGATACAGTATCAAGCGCGTATGTAATATACTCACGTTTTTGGCACTTAGTCGTAACTCAACGCTAACGTTACAGTAAACGCAACCTCCTCTTCGCTTTTATCCTAGTTTTGGCCATTTGAGAAGTGCAGCAGCCTCAAGGCAAGCAAGAGAGCCGAAGAGGAATTGCCTGTGTATGATAATATCAAGATAATGATGGCGTTCGCGACGTCATTATGGCAGACTCCCTGAACAACAGTCGCCACTTGGAGGCTAGCGTGCATTGGGAACAAGGGGAAGCTTGAAGAGACGGAACCTATTCACTGACTGAGTGCTTGAACCCTGACAATTGATATGTATATATCGCTTTGCCTAGATCTCCTCATGAAAAATACCTCAGCAGGTGAGTAGTTAAGGCAGAGTTAAGGAGCTCGATTTTCAGAGTTCCTAACCTTTCCAGTATTTTGGGGATGATCAAAACACGTTTTCGCTATATCTAACACAACGTACCCCAGCTCGATACCCTTGGAGAGGGCAAGAGGCTACGTACACCGTGAACATCGGTTGATTTCCAAGTTCTCTTCCACCTTCAAGTACTTTAACTAGTGATATTAAAGCACCCTAAATCCCATTGCCGATGCCCTCCGATGCATACCCTGGCTCCTTAATGTACAATGCTCTCAGACCTGAGACAGCAAAAATGGTGAATCCAGCGATGCGGCGAGAATTCACTATAATAGTGGAAGGAAGAACGCTTGCTTGTCAATTAGTTTCCGGTACTGAATATACTTTGGTGAGTGCATTACTATGATATGTATATTTCGACATTTACACCTTTGAAGTTTGATCTACCTCCAGGCTGCAATCTATACTTAATCATTTCTTGGCCATATAAGTTTCGGCTTATCCTAAGATCGATTGAGTTGCACCCCACTTAGAACACTCACTGTTCTCCACCACACCAGTTAAACTTCACAATGTCAGGCCTTTCTGCAGCGGAGCATGCCGAGATTGATCTTTCGCTTGGAGCAGTGGTGAGCCTCTTTGAAGTGAATCCAAATTTGAGGAAGCTAACGGTACTCGACTTCAGGTCGTCAGCAACTACCTTTCGGTTCGTATGAATCTCGGAGATCCCGCATGAATTGAGTTCAAGTATTGTTATTAGTACCTAACGATGGGTGTTGTGCTGTCCGCTAGTGAGTGCTTGAACTTTTGGCCCTCAGTCTCACATTCGCAGTACTTACATGCACTTGCCTTTCACCAGCATGGACCTATTTCTCAAAGTTCCCCACTGATAGATGGTGGTTCAAAGCCCTCGTTATCCTGTGCGTCGGCATGTCCATTAGTGACACCATTGCAACTGGTTAGCGTTGTCATTCTACTAATTCTGAGCTTTGGGCCTACTGATATTTCCGCAGGTATCTGGACTTACGACTGGGCTGTCACAAATTACGCGAGTGAGTCTCGGGAGCCAGTCTATTGGTAGCTTTAACTTATTGATCCGCCCTTGCTTAGATCCCACCGCATTGACGTTAATGCATTGGGCGCTCCCCGCCGAAGGTCTCTTCTTGTGAGATTCGTAGCGGTTGCATTCGTCATTGCAGGTCTAACACTATACCACTTGCAGGTCAACCTGTGGTGTCATTGTGCAACTATTCTATGTGTGGCGCCTTTGGATAATGTCCGACATGAAGAATTGGGTTTTGCCTGCAGTAATAGGATGCCTCTCCATAATGGGCTGGTGTACGGGGGTTTTTCCGCTCTTCATCTAACAAATATGTAAATATTCTTGGATCTTACAGGTACCATGTGTTGGGTAACACACGTTCTGGCAACACACAGTCTCATCTCGGATTTCACCCTTCTCCTGTAAGTGCGGAATTATCTTCATTTGTGATAAACCAGCTCACTTGACTGATCGTCAGACCTGTGATCTATATATGGCTGGGGGGTTCAGTGTATGTTCTCTATTACAAGCTACAAGTACTGGGGCTAAATGTTCAATAGAGGCGCAGATGTCTTAATCACAGGCTCAATGATCTACTACCTTGACCTCCGTTTCCGAATCAAAAACCAAGCCAGCTACAATACCCAGAGGTACTTTTGATCCTGAATATCTGTCGGCCGTCTCTGCTAACTGGTTTCTTCATAGACGTTTCCGTGAAATTATCCTCCGGACAGTGGAATGTAACCTTCTGTCCCTTTTCGCTCAAGCCATTCGCTGTTGGTCTGTTCAATTATAGCAGCCGCATTGGATATTACTTTGGTACATCTAGTTCGTTCTCAAGTGGCTGCTACTTGACCTCATCTCTCCTCGCTAGTCATTGCAGACACAACGCTCGCCAAAGTTTATACGTTCTCTCTACTGGTTTCTTGTATGTTCCTCTTTTCTTTTCCTTTCCTTTCCCTGTTTCCCTATTTCACTCAGCTCCCAGCATGATTATCCTAATACCTACTATTCCTACAGTGAACAGTCGTACCTCTGACAACAACGAAGGAACCAGCAAAGGAGGGCGCTCTCTATCCAGAAGAGAAGAAGGCGGCGAATTAACTGTTTTCCGCACCAGTTCTTTTCCAAGCACCCACCGGCTTTCTTCCTTTCTTCCTTCCCAGGTCTCAGGCCACATCCAGTTAGTCCACGTAT